CAAAGGTTATCAGTTTGAAGGGTGAAACTACAAAGTGAAAGCCTGATGGAAAACTTCCCACAAAAGGATCAGATTTTCACCATCTGAACCCACCAATTGTTTTGAACATCACTAAAAGCAGGACAACCAGATATTATGGAGTATAATTTACCACTGTATTCCACCTCCTTAACTGAGCCTGAATCTAATCAGTCTTTAGATCTAATCTTCAATCTATAGGAAATAGGACAAAAAAAACAAGTTAAATAAATATGAGAGGCAATCAGTCAAATCCAAAATGTGATATATTTTCCATCATAACTCACTAGTTTCTTCAACAAGTCAATGGAATTTTAAAAAATTTTGTTATTGTTTTAGTTTATTTTTTGAGAGAGAGAGAGAGTGAGTGAGTAGGGGAGGAGCAGATAGAGGGGGAGAGAGAGAATCCCAAGCAGCCTTCACACTGTCAGTTCAGAGTCCAGTGTGGGGCTCGAATTCATGAACCATGAGATCATGACCTGAGCTGAAATCAGGAATTGGAGGTTTAACTGACTGAGCCACCTAGGCACTCCAGTCAATAGAATTTTAAAAGGTGATGATGAGGGAAGGAAGAATTATTTTACAATACATAACAAACCTGTTTAGAAACATAAGAAACTCGACAGCTTACTACAGTAAGAGGACTATGGACCTTGAGTCGACTAAAACAACTATAAACAACATTTAGTCAATTAGGGCAATCTGAATATGGACTGGGTATTAGGTGTTAAGGAAGTATTTGCTGGTTATTGTAGATGTGGTAATGACATTGTATTGTGTAAGAAAAAAATTTTTTTTGAGATGAATAGCTAAGGTACTTTGGATATGTAGTGAAATCACTTCATAATAGTCCAACAAAAAAAAGGTGGGGGGTGAGAGATACAGACAGATGAAGGAATGGATGAAACCAGTATGGCTGCCAAAGCTAGGGAGCAGGTACACAGAAGTTCATTGCACTCTCTATTTTTGTGTGTATTTGGAAAAGTAAAAACAAAACAAACACTAAAACAAAACAAAACAAAAGCTGTAGGTAGGGATCTATGATACTCAAACCACAGGATTTGGGGAATGTGTTGAACAGCAAGGATGAAAATGAGTTGTGGTGGTTACCCTTAAGGCAACTTAATAGAAAATCCAGAAAGAGAAACGAATTCTCTTATACAAGGTTGCTGGAGAGAGCCTGCTAGACAAAGTATGTGCTAAAGGTCCACAGAATGAGACTCTAAGGGAAGGCTGCACTCTAATTTGGGTCCTCTCAGAGGCCTGTGCCCCACCCATGAAAAGTATGGGGAGTGTTTCAGTTAAGAAGGGAGAAGCGGCCACAGGTTTACAGAGGACATCACAAGAGCCTAGTGTGGAAGAGAACTGCCTGTAAGGAAGAGAATACTGCTGTACAAAAAAAACCTAGAATGTGGAAATGTTCTCCTAGAGAGCAGAAAGATTAACTGATTTTTATTTAAAAAATTTTAAGTTTATTTATTTATTTGGGGGAGAGGGGCAGAGAGAGAGGGAGAAAGAATCTCAAGCAGGCTCTGCACCATCCTTTTGTGGGACTTGAACCCACAATCATGAGAACATGACTTGAGCTGAAATCAAGAGTCAGACGCCCAAATGACTGAGCCACCTAGGCACCCCAAGATTAACTGAATTTTAAAGGAAAGGTTAAGTTATGTTATGAACTCAAGGTTCAAAACTAGTTATTAAATCCTTAGGGGTAAATATTACATGTTTTTAAATGGGAACTAGCCCAGAAGCATACCAGTTGCTTCTAGAATTGTAGAGATATGACTGTGTATAAGTACTCTTTCTCAGTAGAAGAATTACAGAACTCTTTTCCTAGAAAAGAGGCTCTTCATATTAGTGGCTAAATGAATGGAGGTGCCTGGCTGGGTCAGTTGGTGGAGCATGAGACTTTTTTTTTTTTTAAGTGTCTATTTATTTTTGAGAAAGAGAGAGAGAACAAGCAGGGAGGGGCAGAGAGAGGGAGCCACAGAATCTGAAGCAGGCTTCAGGCCCTGAACTGTCAAGCACTGAGCCTGATTTGGGATTCGAACTCACAAATTGCGAGATTATGACCTGAGCCGAAGCTGGACCCTTTACTGACTGAGCCACCCAGGTGCCCCAAAGCATGAGACTCTTGATCTCCAGGTTGGGTGTGAAAAAAATCTTTTAAAAAGAAGATTAATGGCACTGTTACCATTGTGTGATGTGTTAAACACACACAACACACATATACACACACACATTATTTTAGGCAATGCTAAAAGTGTACTTGTGTATTTAGTATCCATGTTAAATTAAATGCTTATATATGTATTTATGGGTTAAAGGACTTGTTATCTCTTTTCTACTTTCATTGTACATTAAATAAACTTACATTTAACGTCCTAAAATAATTCAAAGCTTCTTTTTTCCCCTAACAGAATTTAAAAAATTATGATCATCAAGGACATAAACTGTCCATCTTGGGAGAATAATGCAGTAAGAACTCGTTTATCTGACAGTCATAAAACACTGGAGTACCTTCTACGTACCACACACTATACTAGCTGTTAGAGATACCAAGATGAATCTAAGATGACAGAAGAAAAGACACCTCTGCCCCAGTTCTCTCAGAATTCACTACAAAACAATAAGGAAAAACAAGAAAGTGAAACACTAACTCCATCTTGGAGGAACCTACGAGTTCAATGTAGGTTCAATGTAGGTTCCTTGGAGGAACCTATGAGTTCAACGTACAAGTTCAATGTGGCGGAGTAAGCAGTATCCCTCACAGGCAGATATGTGGGCACCACAAAATTCTAGGAAGACTCAGGAGTTGCAGATAAACAAGTAAGGCAGAAGCAAGCTTATTCTGAGAATAGTTATGCCTCCAAATTGGTCCCTGCCTCTCTTCTCCCACAACTATAGAAGATAAGACAGTTTATTCCCTAGAGAAATTAAAGCAAAGAGGCCTTGGACTGGGAATACCAAAAATTGTAGAGGGTGGAGATGAAGGTGGAAAGAAAGAAGGAAAGAAAGTAAATTATAGCATGCTTTCTGAATACTGACATCACCCCTCAGGACCCCAGAACATTTGAAGCCATATCACCCACTCTTACCCCAGACCAGACACTCAAAGATTCTTCCCTGAAAAGCTGTATGATCCCAAATAGAAAAATCTATAGATCCTCAGGCAGAGGGTTCCTCAGTGAAAAAGACTGCAACCATCTGAGAGGGAGGCAAACTAGATTCCACACCCTGTCTATGAGCAAAGGCTCCTGATTAGCATTATTAGAGTACCTAACTTCTATGTATCAATAGATGGCCAAGGATCAGCAGGCATTTGAGGAAATGGAAACCATGCAAAGAGCAGAAGGGAAAACTTCAACAGCAACTGACCTCCATAATTAACAGTCCCAGAAAGATAAAAAAATATCTTATCTATAACACAAGAAAAATATGCTCCCCAGAAAGGACAAGCAGAGAAGGGCTCTTGGAAATCAAAAATGAAAGCTAAAATTTCAAACACTAATATGAAGTTTAGAAGATTAAGAAATCATTTAGGAAGTATACTTCAATACAAAAAGACAGATAATAGGATTGCCCATTTAATAAATGAGTTTCCATACTATCATGCATCAAACTAGTATGTAACACTAATTTATTCAATGAATTGCTAAAGTAATTACTGATTTAACTAGAAGTAGTGATAAAACTATCCTGGGAAGATAAGAGATACGAGAGCTAAATTATCATCTACCATAATAAGAAGTCAACTAGTAGTTTCTAAATTCAAAGAATCAAGAGAACAGCATAAGGACATTATTTAAAATTATGGAAATAACATAATACCGAAGAGCCAGAAGTTGTTGTCTCTGATGCAGGAGATCAAAGGATTGGGAAGAAGACGCCAGGGGGTTGTTTAAGTACAATGTGCATGTACCTTAGGTATGTGCATACATCCCACTTTGATAAAAATAGAACTTAATTTTAAAAGATCAGTATGACACCATCCTTGATCTGAAGGAGTTTATACTGTTGGAAGAGACATGCAAAACAATCATAGTAGCACGCAATACACAACTCAACAGAAGCAGACAATCTGAACAACACAGTGGATCTTATCTCAGTCAAAAAAAGGGTGTTTGGGGGCGCCTGGGTGGCTCAGTCGGTTGAGTGTCCGACTTCGGCTCAGGTCATGATCTCACAGTCCGTGAGTTCGAGCCCCGCATCAGGCTCTGGGCTGATGGTTCAGAGCCTGGAGCCTGCTTCCGATTCTGTTGTCTCCCTCTCTCTCTGCCCCTCCCCCATTCATGCTCTGTCTCTCTCTGTCTCAAAAATAAATAAATGTTAAAAAAAAATTTTTTTTTAAAAAAAAGGGTGTTTGTGAGACAAGGGGACACCTGAACTGTGGTTTCAGAGGATGGAAAAGGGTTCACTGGTTGGAGAATGATGAACGCTTCCCCTGTCAACAGTCTACACATGTAAGTTTTCTTTCTAAAACACAAGTGATAACATTCCATAAACACACTTTCATACACCTTACTTTTTTTTCACTTAATACCTCTTGGAGACCATTCCTCAGAAAGCCCTTAAAAAAAGCTTTCGGTTTTTCAAGGATCTTTTACTGAAGTCTTACATAAAAGGAAGATAACCTATTTTTAATATACTAACTCCTAATTTTAATTGCAACTACAACACATGCTTCTTATTAAAGATTCAACACTATGAAAAATTAAAAATAAAAAGTAAAAACTTTTCCATTGTTCTTCCATTCCCACTTCCCCAAAATAAGCACTTTGAATTTCCTTCCAGACCTTTTTCTATAAAAATAAAAATGCACATACATGTAAATACTATTCAACTAACGTTCCATGCATCTACTACAGCTTATACTCACACTAGTCTATACACATAAAATACACTTACATTATTTAAAGTCTCTTAAAGTCAAGGATTCTGTGATGAGAAACTTTAAACTTTACTGCATGTCAACTTACCAACACAATCACAACACTCATCCCAAAGGGTCCCAAGACATAACATACACTCCTTACAGCAGGAACAATTCCCTTCTCCAGGTCGGCACTGGCAGAGCTCCTGGAAATAAGATAGATGTTCAAACTTAAAATTTCAAACAACCATATTTAAAACTGTTAGTTTTTTGTAACACCCCCCCATATATGCATTTATAGTCATTTACTCTTCACACAGTTTTTTATTCAAGATCATTAACTGTTTGTACGAACATAAATATCTACAATGTCAAGTAGATTTATATTTTCTTTTGGATGCATTCAGTGACCTATTTTGGATGCTTTTATCTTATTGTGAAACCAAAGAAAACCTTTTACTTTATAACCATTACTTTACCCCCTACACTACCTTGAAAAATAGTTCAGTACAAGCACAAAACCTGTTTTTCAGCTATTAGACTCATTGTATAAATTAAATGAATAGCCGGCTTGTAGCAGGAGCTGTGCTTTCTCAATACGTGGAGTCTTTCAAAAACTGCTATTTTTATTGACCTACAACTGTTAAAAGAGTGTGCTTGGTGCAGCAGACTATTTAAAAGAAGGTTGGGGCGCCTGGGTGGCGCAGTCGGTTAGGCGTCCGACTTCAGCCAGGTCACGATCTCGCGGTCCGTGAGTTCGAGCCCCGCGTCGGGCTCTGGGCTGATGGCTCGGAGCCTGGAGCCTGTTTCCGATTCTGTGTCTCCCTCTCTCTCTGCCCCTCCCCCGTTCATGCTCTGTCTCTCTCTGTCCCAAAAATAAATAAACGTTGGAAAAAAAAAAATTTAAAAAAAAAAAAATAAAAGAAGGCAGCGATTATTTCCTCCCTATGTCCACCCACCCTCTTTGCAATGTAACTCTGCAGCTCTTCCTATCAAAGGACAGTGTCTATTTCCAGACTAGCTTTAATCAGCAGAATTTGGTGGAAATGACATCGTGTGAGTTCTGAGTCTGGGTCTCCATGGCACTGAGTGCTTATACTCCTCCTCTTAGAACTTCTCCCAGCTGCCATGTGTAGCCTGGAAGAAGGCCACATGGGCAAATTGGTCCATTGGACGCCTTCCTCTCTCATCCAGCCTCCAACCAACCAGCAGTTGACAATGGACATAAGAATGAGACCAGAAAAACCATACAGTTGATATGGGCCCAAATGGCGAACCCACAGAAATAGGAGCTAAACAAATGGTTACTGTTTTAAGCCACTAAACTTTGGAGTCATTTGTCACTCCACAAAAGCTAATTAATACAGCTTGTTTCTCAAATGAAGCTCCCAGGTAATTCCTCTAGCCCCCTTGCCACCAGACAACCACTCCTAAACAAACCCAACGTAAAGAGAATTCTGTAGCCACCATTGCCTACTTAGCTTTCCCTGACTTATAAGATACCATATACATTTTTATTTTTATTTATTTACTTATTTTTGAGAGAGAGACAGAATGTGAGCAGGGGAGGGGCAGAGAGAGAGGGAGACCCAGAATCCAAAGCAGGCTCCAGGCTCTGAGCTGTCAGCACAGAGCCCAACGTGGGGCTCAAACTCACAAACCATGAGATCATGACCTGAGCCAAAGTTGGAAGCTTAACTCACTGAGCTACCCAGGTGCCCCAAAGATACCGTATACATTTTGAAAAAATTTAACATAGCACATAATATTCATTCCTATTAAATTCATCTTATTACATTTCTAGACTACTGGAGTCACTCCGATGTTCTAGTATGACATGATTTTTTGCACCCTTGATATTTAATTCCTTTTTTCTTCTTCTCTAAAAGTTCCCTAGCTATTTCACAGCATTTTTGGCAGTCGACACTTGTACTATTTTCTAACTAATTAGAAAATTAGATTAGTTTGATCCCGATGTATACCTGTGACCTGATGATACATGCAAGTAGTAGTATTTTAGTTCTTCAAAACTCTGTACAATCAAGCTGAATTCACTTACTGCAGACCTTCGGTAACTTTGTTAAGTCTATTAGAAAGAGAAGGACTAAAAGGGAAGGGACTTCCTGAAAAGTACAGATGCTTCATCATAAAACTGGGATGCTTGATCCAGAAAAGCTCAAACATACTTGGAAATTTAGAAAATCGGAGTTGCCAAAAATCTATTTTGTGACTGGTTTCTCCATAAAAACCTGTCTGTCCTGTCTTTGGAACAAGAGAACATTTTCTGAGTACACATGGTGCTTTTAGGATACTTTTTGTTTTTTAGTTTTAGAAAGCTTGCCACTTAGTCACAAGAAATAAAGCTTCTTTCAAATATTAATTTACATTATACATAGTGTCCCTTTATTCTCTAGTTGCTTGTATTTACATTATTTATTTAACTCAGGAGAAGCAAACTAGAAAGTAACAAATTTATTCACAGAATAAATCTCTCCTTTTTCTATCTATCGAAGCTTCCAAATAGCTTACTAAATGAGTTACTGTATATCATGCTAAATAATGCGGAAATGAATGTCAATGCAATGGCATCCAGTCTGAGTCATTCGAGTGTTCATTATGTCTTTTTACCATCAGGTATCTGCAAGGTGTTTTAAATTGGAATGAAAGGGTGGTGATACTTTAAGATTACTGGGAACTAATGGAAGGTTAAAACTAAGGCCATTTAAAAGTCGCTTCAACTTGCCTGGATTATGTAGCCCTCAAGATTAAATCTATTTCATGCCCTCTTAATAGATGCTTGTACTTTTACATGTCAGTGTAGTGGAATAATGTACTCTAGCAATATGCTTAATAATTTATAATTTACTGATAGAATATAAAGGGAGAGGCTATAGGAAGCTAAGACATGACGGAAATAACTTGAAGATAAGCTTTATTTCTGCACTATTAAAATAACAAAAGTGCAGGCTAAGACTTTCTTGGTAAAAATTACTGCTAAAACTGGTTGAATGCCAGGTAACAGTATGCCAGCTAATATTTTCCCTTTTTTCCATTTTACTACAGAAACGACTGAAAAACCCTTGCCTTAATAAAACAAACTTACCCACATAAATTAAGACATTTTACAGAGCAAATAGGCCTCAAAATATATCAAAACATCTCTATTCTTCATAGCTCATGTCAGCATTCTTTTCAGGAGACTGAAAACTAAGGAAAATGAGATCACATCCTGAAACCAACCTTTTAGTCAGCATTTGCACCTTTTCAATTTTCAAACAGACTATTTCTTATTTTCCAGGAGAAAATTCCAGGCAAATTTAATATATGGCATTTAGGATCTCAAAAACCTCACTGAAGGTCAAGAGAGCAAACATATATGGAAACCGTTTGCTTTATGACTATTGTTAAGTCAAGAAAAAAATAGCAATGGATTTCCATGTGTAAATCATGATGAATAACAACCATGTGTGGCTCACCAAGCAATTTATTCCTTCCTAGTCACTTTACGTGTCTTCCAAAATCACATTATTGAATGTTTGGTCATAAACATCTTTGGAAATGTACACTGTAATTTTCTTTACAGCACAAGAAAACTATGGTTAGGATGAATGTTTCTAAAAAAAAAAAAAAAAAAAATGCTTCTACCGTGCTTTGAACCCAATTATTGGAAATACAAAAGAAAAAAAATCAACTCAGTATGTAACTCTGTGATGAATCAAGGATCACAGAAAACCATTAAAAATTCCTTTTAAATTAAGCAGTCTCACTCATTTAAAAAGAAATGTTTAGCTTTAACAGTTTTAGTTATGAAGACATAAATGAATCTTCAGCCTTTCCCAAAGAGGCTATGGTAAAGATAACAAAGATGCTTTAAGAAAATTTAAGTCTTTTGGGGTCACCTGTGTGGCTCAGTTGGTTAAGCATCTGACTTCAGATCAGGGCATGATCTCACTGTTTGTGAGTTCGAGGCCAAGAGGCACATATCCTGCTTGGGATTCTCTGTCTCCTTCTCTTCCTGCCCCCCACCCCCTCAAAACAAATAAATAAACATTTGAAAAAAAGAATTTTTTAAGTTTATTTACTTGTTTAGAGAGACAGAGTGTGAATGGGGGAGGGGCAGAGAGAAAGGGAGACACAGAATCCGAAGCAGGTTCCAGGCTCTGAGCTGTCAGCACAGAGCCCCACGCAGCTCCAGCTCACCAACACTGAGATCATGACCTGAGCCTGAGCCAAAGTCTGATGCTTAACTGAGCCACCCAGGCGCCCCAAAAAATTCTTTAAAATATTTTAAGTATTTTTTTAAACTATAAAAGACTGAAAAATATATACTAGAGTAGAAGGAAAAACACCCAAGTTTAACCCACTTTGGCAAATTCCTACACATTTCTAGCAAAATAACGATTGTATGCTCTGCTGATCTAAAAAAATAAGCATTTCCCTCTCGTAAAAATCCGTCAACATAATTTAATAACTGCATAACAGTATATTCAAAATTCAGAAATAGACCTTAAATCCCGATCCCTTCCACATCTTGTTCACTTTTTTTTTTTAATTTAAAATGTGTTGTTTTTAAATGCCTGCCAGGGGGTGCACTGGGGCTGCTCTGCCGCCTGTAGCACCTCCAGAGCCATGCGGCAGCTTGGCCTGGGCCTGGCTCGTCAGACCCAGACATCTTGAATGACCCCACGTGTGGGTTGAGGAGGTTGAGAAGGTCCAGGTCTCGCTGTAAACAATGCTCCTAGGAGCCAGTGCACAGGCAGGTGCAGACGCAGATGTATGTGGTTGGGTACCGCCTCTCCGGGGGTCCCCAGTTTCTTATTCTTTATCAAAAGCTTAATCACTATCTTCTATTCTTCTATTATTTTAAAGTCTCTGGTACTTAAGTGGAAAATATGGTTGATTTTTGAGATGTGGAATTTTTCTGTTTGGACTGGGTGTTTATATATTTTACTAACCTTACTTGACCAAACTTGAGTACCACTCAGTTGAATGGAACATGTGATCACAGCCTAACACAAAGTTCACAGAAGTTCAAAATAAAGACTGATTCAGTGCTTCCACTTGTTTACTGCTACTACCTACCCTAAAGTTCCTAAGCAGGTTTTATGTAACACTAACAGGCACTGTGCTAATAATCATTTTATATGCATTATCTCAACTGTCGTAAAGCCCCTTTCAAGGCAGTTATTATCCTCATTTTTTAAAT